ACTCAGTCTTCATGTTCCCCCATGCACTTCCCTGATTTGCAGACCAGTGGACTCAGGCTTCATGTTCCCCCTTGCACTTTCCTGGGTTGCAGACCAGTGGAATCAGTCTTCATGTTCCCCCTTGCACTTTCTTGGGTTGCAGACCAGTGGACTCAGTCTTCATGTTCCCCCTTGCACTTCCCTGGGTTGCAGACCAGTGGACTCAGTCTTCATGTTCCCCCTTGCACTTTCCTGGGTTGCAGACCAGTGGACTCAGGCTTCATGTTCCCCCTTGCACTTTCCTGGGTTGCAGACCAGTGGGATCAGTCTTCATGTTCCCCCTGCACTTCCCTGGGTTGCAGACCAGTGGACTCAGTCTTCATGTTCCCCCTTGCACTTCCCTGGGTTGCAGACCAGTGGACTCAGGCTTCATGTTCCCCCTTGCACTTTCCTGGGTTGCAGACCAGTGGAATCAGTCTTCATGTTCCCCCTTGCACTTTCCTGGGTTGCAGACCAATGGGATCAGTCTTCCTGTTCCCCCTTGCACTTCCCTGGGTTGCAGACCAGTGGACTCAGTCTTTATGTTCCCCCTTGCACTTCCCTGGGTTTCAGACCAGTGGACTCGGTCTTCATGTTCCCCCATGCACTTCCTTGGGTTGCAGACCAGTGGACTCGGTCTTCATGTTCCCCCTTGCACTTCCCTGGGTTGCAGACCAGTGGACTCAGTCTTCATGTTCCCCTTGCACTTCCCTGGGTTGCAGACCAGTGGACTCAGGCTTCATGTTCCCCCTTGCACTTCCCTGGGTTGCAGAACAGTGGACTCAGTCTTCATGTTCCCCCATGCACTTCCCTGGTTTGCAGACCAGTGGACTCAGGCTTCATGTTCCCCTTTGCACTTTCCTGGGTTGCAGACCAGTGGAATCAGTCTTCATGTTCCCCCTTGCACTTTCCTGGGTTGCAGACCAGTGGGATCAGTCTTCATGTTCCCCCTTGCACTTCCCTGGGTTGCAGACCAGTGGACTCAGGCTTCATGTTCCCCCTTGCACTTTCCTGGGTTGCAGACCAGTGGAATCAGTCTTCATGTTCCCCCTTGCACTTTCCTGGGTTGCAGACCAGTGGAATCAGTCTTCATGTTCCCCCTTGCACTTTCCTGGGTTGCAGACCAGTGGGATCAGTCTTCATGTTCCCCCTTGCACTTCCCTGGGTTGCAGACCAGTGGACTCAGTCTTCATGTTCCCCTTGCACTTCCCTGGGTTGCAGACCAGTGGACTCGGTCTTCATGTTCCCCCATGCACTTCCTTGGGTTGCAGACCAGTGGACTCAGTCTTTACAGAGTAGTAGAAGAAATAACACACGTGCTTTGAGCTGTTGGTAGAAAACAAATGACAGGAATGTGGATTAACATCAACTTTTGCATGAAAATTGGCAAAAGTACGAGTAAAACTTCAGCTCTGTTACAACAGGCTTATGGTGAACATTCTGTGAAGAAATCAAGTGTTTTATGAATGACATAGGTGGCTTACAGAGGCTCGGGAAGATGTCAACAATGACGCAAGAAGTGGGCAGTCAAGAATACAAAAGATAGATGCAAATGTGGACAGAAAATCTGTTCAGAGGAAAAAGCTGGAACTCTGGCCTGACAAGTGGATTCTCTACCATGACAATGCTCCTGCACAAGATGCGTTAATTGTTCACATTCCTGCCCAAGAAATCCATTCCGAAACATGACCAACCATTTTATTCCCCTGACGTGGCACCCTGCGACTTTTGCCTGTTTCCAAAATTAAAAAATACCTTTAAAGGACAAAGGTTGGATGGATCGGAAAGGCGTTCGGACCGGAAGTGGGAGCGGGTACCTGTCACATTCGGGTACCTGCTCCCCCCCACTCCCCAAAGGTGCCAATCCTTAATGGGGAGTGAGGGAGCAGTCCTTAAAGCGGAACTTCCCCTTTTGGTTGGAGCTCCGCTTTAAGTGTGGGCTTGCGGCTTCACAGCCAGGTGTCCACTGTGCATGCGCAAGTAGCACTGCGCTTTGTAAATGTCCTGTAGTCTTCTGGGACCTGTCACGTGTCCCAGAAGACTATGGGGGGGGCAACTTCCACTTCTGATCGCCTAGACCAGGGGTGGCAACCTGAGAGCCGCAGGACCACAAGTTCCATCATGCCTCTGCAAGTCATAGCTGTAACTGTCAGTTTTGTAATCTTTGCAATGCCTCATGGGAAATGTAGTTCCACAACAGCTAGAGAGCCACAGGTTGCCTACCCCTGGCCTAGGCAGTCGAAGCGGACGTGGGAGCAGGTACCTGTCAAAATCGGATACCCTAAAAGTGCTAATAAAAAATACCTTAAAAGGACACAGATTTAATGACATTCCAGAGATTTAGTGCTCTGCGACAAAGATGCTACACAGAGTTTCGGAAAACGAACTCCAGGAATGTTTTTGGCAGCGGTATAGTCATCTAGAAAAATGCATTCTTCACAAGGGGACTACTTTGAGCCCTGGTTCACACTGATGTGATCCGGAAATTGCAGCATTTTCTGTGTGAATTCCGCACCGCATCACAATCGTACCCCGTTCATGCGAACCGCTGCGGGTGTGTATGTTAAGTTAACAACACCCCGAAAGTGGTCCACAAAATGTGGTGCGATGTGCAGAATCGAATCGCATGGGTGTGAATACCCATGCGATCCGATTCTAGTGCGGACCAAAAAAAGGGTCCTGCACCTTTTTGGTGCGGTGCAATTAGAGTCATACAAAATGTACGGCTCCAATCGCACCGCACACAAATCGCATGTGATTTACACAGGAATGCGGTGCGGTTCCTGTGCGAATCACATGCGATATACCGCACCACATCTATGTGAACCCGGACTGAAAGTCACAACAGCCACTAGCAAGGGCGGACTGACAGCTCATGGGGCCCCCGGGCAATAGGGGATCATGGGGCCCCTGTGTCCTTGCCCAAACTCAAAAAAGCCTATGGAAAAGGTACCAGGGGCATCATATGGGGCACCCTACTGACCCCGGGCCCTCGGGCAGTGCCCGAGTTTTCAAATGGTCAGTCCGCCCCTGGCCACTAGTGTATAGGTAACATTTTTTTTTACAGTCCATTCCGGGAATTAAATTGTCCCCCCATATATTGTTATTTATTTGAAAAAACACACACATTTTTGTAGTGCACACAAACACAATATATCTTTGAAATTGTTAACAAAAGATAAAATATTTTAATATAAATAACAAATATTTGTAACTTCGAGGGCTTGTTTACACTTGCAGTTGGAGAGTGCTTAGTGCTCATGCACACGGACGTTTTTTGGCTTTTGACGTTTTTATCTACAGCTAGTAATCCCCCCAGCATGTTATCCTATGTGTCCATGCACATAGACTGGAATCAACGTTTTTTGGCTGGAAAAAAAAACCCAGAACTAGTGGGTTTCTAGAGGAGATTTTTAGCTGTAAAAACGCTCTAATGCTGAAAAATGTGGTAAATCGTGGCAAACCAGCGTTTTTGGACTTTTTTTGATTTAAAAAATGGTAAGAAACGCAAAATGCCGCTAAACACTAATACAAAAACACTAAAAAACTCACGTTTTTAACGTGATTTTACACAGCTAATGTTACCAGCGTTATTAGAACCCCCGAGTGCATGGAGCCTAAAATTAAGAGGTTGAGCTATGGCCCCTTAGGGTGCAAAGATAGACAAACTGGAATGTCCACATGTCACAGCCATGATGCTTTGCTTCATGGCAAAAATCTTACCCCTTGTTGCATTCAGCTGTCAGCAGAGGCGGACTGACCATTTGGAAACTGGGTCCAGTAGGGGGCCCCATGAGATGCCCCTGGTACCTTTTTCATAGGCTTTTTTGAGTTTGGACAAGGACCCCATGATCCCCTATTGCCCGGGGGCCCCATGAGTTGTCAGTCCGCCCCTGGCTGTCAGTACCACCATTGAATTCAACCCATTAAAGTGAATTGGGCTGTGTGGCAACAATGAGCCAAACACCAGGCTCCCCATTGATAAACCTTGTTTAGTTGTCAAAAAAAAAAATACAGGCATTTAGGAGGCAGTAGAGGTGTCAGTTGCACCTCTACTGCTCTCTGAAAAGCAATCAACCACAGACTACTTTACAGAAAGCAACTCATTTTGTAAACTAAGTAAGGAGTAAATTTGTGTGCTGTGTCAGAGGAGGAAGCTGAGAGGAGAGGGTCGGAAGCTATACCTTGGCCGGTAGAGCGATTGCGTGGTTTTACAGCCACCCAAACCAATAAATGTAAAGAGAGACGCTGTTATATTCTAAAACAAGGTCATGTCTGCTGTTGCATCTGGTAGCTTGCTTTAACGCCGCGATGCACCATATAGGTCCGGGGAGTCAAAGGGTTCAAAAAAATCCATTTAAATTAATTCAGACCTTTTTCTTGTCCCACAAAGCTTATATTTACCTTCCATCGACCCCCCCCAACTACATTCACCTAAATGCAGTATCTGAACTTGACTCTCACCTGTGCTTCATGATGGAGCATTGGGGCCATGAGTGGCCAATTGTCAGATGAACGAAAAACAACCTCCTGCACTCTAGTGTGGTGTTCAGAGACTAATGGACCTTCAGTGTTCCACTCCAGAGATACGACCGGCCACCATACCTTTACTGTCCTCTTAGGACTGGGAAATGTGCACCAGCCTAGTGCATTATCTGTATAAAACCGTTCATTAAAAAATGTAGATTTACTTTAATTTTCACCTTCCCCCATCTCCGTTTGAATCGCTCAATGCCTTGATTCTCGTTTGATTGTTCGCATTTTTATAACAGTTATAAGAAGTTTATGCTGATATCATCTCTATGCAAGCATACTTTGTAATTGACAAAAAAACACATACACGCACAGAAACATGTACACACACGCACAGAGACACCTGTACACACACACAGACACATACACGCACAGAAACATGTACACACACGTACAGAGACACCTGTACACACACACAGACACATGCAGACACGCATACACACAGATACATGTACATATACAGAAAAACATACGCACAGACACATGTACATACACACAGACACATGTACATACATACACAGACACATGTACACACAGACACATGTACGTACATACACACACAAACATGTACATGAACACACAGACACGTGTACACATACACATACATGTACATACACGCAGACACATGTACAAATACACACATGTACATACACACAGACACATGTACAATTGTACATGCATCACAGAAACACACACACATGTACACGTACACACACACACCCATAAAAAGTTGCAGTACTTCGTTGTTCACTCACAGAGCTGGGTACTGCACTCTAGGGGGAGGCAGAGAGCACAGCACACACTCCTTGCTTTGCTTTCACTGCGCTCAGCTATTGAGCAGTCTGAGGGCTCCCAGTGCCAATGACAGATCCGGCCTGAGCTCCGAGTCTGCTCAGCAAGATGGCCCTGGGGGACACACTCGCCCCCACCATAATTTCCACTCGCCATTGGCGAGCAGGCGAGTGGAAATTTCAAGCCCTGATATACGTGATCCTGCGCCACCCTGTAGCAGTATATCTGCTGTAGGGTGGTCCTTCAGCGGTTAAAGTCCCCGACCCTTTCTAAAAACGCAGCAGCTCAAAAAAGCATAGATGTGACCGTGTCCCAAAGGAAACCATATTAAATGGACTGTAGTGCGTTTCTGCAAAAAGCACTAAAAAAAACACATTGGCGTGAACGGAGCGTAAATCCTGTTTTATTTACATGGCTCTACAAAACTTGCTTTACCCTGCAAGTCCAAAGAACGGGTTCAGGTTTAGGTTCAGGTGGCCTGTTTGAAGAACCAAGTACAGCCGTAAGCTGGCCATTGTTTGGTGGACATGTCATTTTTTGCTCAGTTTTAAACAGCTGACACTGGTCATGATAGAAACCAGCACCAACCTGTGACATCATGTCTGAGATAAATAGAATATAAGACAGACAAGGGTTTAATATTGTCCCTTGCAATCTGGGGAGCCTTTTATCTAGGGTGCTGCCATATGGATCATACAGTCTCTGTGGATAACTAAATACAGGTACAATCTAATTACCTCTGTAATCAGCCCCAGACACCATATAATTCATACATGTTTGATGTGAGCTGGCAGATCTGGCCGCATGGAAGATGAAACCAAACTGCTGTCCACGCAGGAAGAAGTGCTATGATGACTAGAAATGTTACAGGGGACTGCTATGGCTTTTTAAACGCATCATTTTGTTTGTTTGATTGGGGGGGGGGGTTTGTGTGGGGGAAGGTAAAATTGTATTTTGTTTTTGTATTTGTATTTTTATATTGAGATGTAATGATATGAGAGCTTATTCTTATTGTACAAAATGGGTTGAAGTTGGAAAATTAATAAAATATTAAAAATAAATAAATAAATAAACACATCATTTTGTGTCCCATCCTGGCAGGTACGGAAGAACTGCATTGGCTGAGTCTGATGGTTTTCTCGGATGAAGAGTAGAAAAGAAAATGATCATTCAAACTGTCAGCCAAACGAGAGCAGAGAGACTATTAACGGTTTCCTAGTCGCCATCTATACAGTCGTGAAGCAGACACGTTTTACAACTATTGGGATTTTAAAGAACCCAAACCTGCACTCTGCTCTCTCCTCCTCCCAACTGCGCCTGCTCTTTCTGGTGTAAGGCTAGGTTCACACCTAAGCGTTTTTCAGAAACGCACTACAGTCGATTTAACATTATTTCCTATGGGACACGTTCACATGTCCGCGTTTTCACCCGGTGTATTTTTTGGAAAGGGTCAGGGACTTTTTTTAAATGCAAAAAGTTGCGTTTTTGGTTGTGTAGATTTCAGCAGAGATGCTGCAGGAAAGCATGTAGTGCATTTTTGCTAAATTTTTTAATGCTTTTTTGATGCTTTTTTTCATGCGTTTTTGATGCGTTTTGCCTAATCTGCCTAGCAACAAGAAAAAAAACAGCAAAATGCATCAAAAACGCATGTACAAAAATGCAGAAACGGATCAAACGCAAACTGCATAGGAGTGAACCTAGCCTAAGTGAGGAATCCAGACAAGTCCCACTCTGCTTTAGGACCTTGTTTACTCTTGTGGTCCCTTCTGAAGAGTGATCCATGGTGGTTTGCTCATTTGACAGTGAGGAAACAATATGGTGTTTTATCACCATAAAGCCCTAAAAACCTGCAATGTTGCATGTGGTTGTGGAGTACTTGTGACATGGCCCCTTTCGGTTCAGTAGTGCCCTCATAATGTGATATGGGGGATAACTACTGCATCGTACACTGCATGTGTACACCCTTGCCTGTTGCCAATGCAGCATAAGGGGGGTGAGGTTGGGAGTGGTAAAATGGCAGCTCAACCACACATTTTTACCACCACCCAACAGCAACTGTAAATGAGGCCTAAAATTGCTGGTTCTTATGTGAATAAAGCCTGCAAATACTGCTCCAATGTTATGAATTTATATCATATGAACTCCACCCACCTCTTTTCCCCTCAGCTATGTTTTGTAAATCTCTAATTTTTTTTTTTTTACCATTCTTACGTAAACTTTTTTTTTTTCTTGTATATTATTAAAAAAATACATGAAATATATACTGTAAGTACCTTACATAATAATAATAAGAATAATAATAAATAAATAATTAAAAGAAAGGAAAATTGCCTTTATTTGTAAATGCAAAGTTGCAAGGGATTAACATCAGCTAATTGTATGTAATATATAAAGTGCAGCGCTAATAAATAAACGTAGGTATAAAATATATAATATAAGTTCATCCAGTGTAAGAAATAATGGATAAAATAGTTCATATAACATTAAATGGATGATCCTCTCAGCAGCAGATTTCTAACAAGCTTGTGACTGGAACCAATGGTAAAATTGCGCACTCACCAGAAGCGAAAGAGCACTTGTGGAAAGGAGAGGGGTGTGGATTTCCTGCAGAGAGAGAGCTCAGACTATTACCCTCACTGAATTCAACTTTCAGAGGAAGGGAGCCCTGTACCCAGGCTGAGCACCCATCCATCCTTAAGGGGACCTCTGGACCCAGCAGATTTCCTTACTATCCCAAGACTTGATGACCAATCCATAGAAGGAAGCTCACCTGAAACATTCCGCCTATTTAAGAGATCCTGGTGGTTATGCATATATGCGCATTACCTATGCGCTTCCGGTGAGTGCGCAATTTTAGTATTGGTTCCAGTCACAAGCTTGTTAGAAATCTGCTGCTGAGAGGGACCATCCATTAAATGTTATATGAACTATTTTATCTATTATTTCTTACACTGGATGAACTTATATTATATATTTTATACCTACGTTTATTTATTAGCGCTGTACTTTATATACACTTTCTATCAATTTGAAGGTTTATTGTGGTTACCTTTAGTGTTACAGCTGCTGATCTAGAGCGCTCACTTTACCAGTTTTATCTAATTGTATGCAATGTTTCATATCTTTCTGAATGAAAAAATAAACAGAAAAGGAATAAATAAATCACACACGACTGGAAATTCTCAGTGCGCCTGTAAAAACAGAAGTTCAAAACTACATGAAATGACGACTCTGAAATCAGCCGAGTACTCTGAGCTATTTGCACTGAGAAGATTTGCAAAAGAAGAATGTTTGCGTTTTCTGCTAATATAAAGAACTCTTGCCAATGGATAACTGCTGCTATTATACAGCTGTATTATTAGCTGTCATACACACAGTGACAGTGCATACAGACAAAGGATACACAAAGCACACACAGTCAGAGCAAATAAATAGCACTGTCCCCATCCAGTTGGCAGCATTTGTAAAGTGGTTATGTCAGTGAAAGAGCCCCCGCTGGTTAGGGACAGATAGTCTAGCGTAGGGACAGGTTCCGGTGGAGGAGGGACAGAGCAGGGACTGTTGCTGTGCCTCAGGCAGTAGCCCTTCCTCAATTAGGTGCCTCATTGCTGCATTCTAGCCACCTCTTCTGTTCGATGCTGTCGGTTATCTACAATGTGCACGAATATCTCCTGTACGGTTCATTGTATTCGTTTTGGTCTGGTGAGGCCGTGTTGCAGTCTCTGTTATACTTCCTCAGGACCATCACGTTAATATACTTTGCCATATCAATTGGTCTCCGCTTGAGTTCCCTTCCTCTCTGGGCATCGAACATTGTGCCCCACCTACTTTTGGCTTAAGTTGGCAGGATATGCCCTATTCAGTGGCTGGCATGAACAGGTAAGCAAGGGCTACCATGGTGCCACAAGGAGTGGTTCTAGCTCTGATGCCCAAAGTCAACAGGTCCAATATCTCACTGACTGAGTAGGAGGAGTAACTGGAGAGTGGTGTTTTTGACTCTATCAGGTACCCTCCAGACTGATTACGGACCTAGCTATTAACTCTTTGAAAGATGATGTTTGCCAAGCAGTCTTGGTACTTCCAGTGGATGAGCGTGTCAGCTTAGAGAAATCATGGCATGGTTAGAGGACCTATTTGGGGAGAATGTGACCTTGCCTGTGTAAAGACACAGTCTTCATCTGCAACAAGAGGTCGAGAGCCTTACACACTTCACTCTAACCCTCCAAAAACTATGGAAACAGTTGGAGAAGGACTTGTAGAGTTGTGCCGATGTAGGCACCCCGGATAAGCAGTTACAGGACCAGTTCATTGGAGGAGTAAGTGCCAGCCCCATTCTGCAGGCCCTGCAAGAAAGAGTGAGAGCTCAACCCTCTTTCATATTTAATGATATAGTGGTGGAAGCAATGGCTTGGGAACAGGAGGACACAGAAGCCACAGTTGCCTTGCATAGAAAAGTGATCCTCTGTATATGAGAAGAGGCCTTGGTTCCTTCCCCATTGTTGGCCCTTCAAGACAGCCATCCGGGAGCTAATGTAAAACATGGCATCCAAGTGGCAAGAAATGTCTACAGTTAAACAGGAGTTGTCCCAGTTCTTGAAGGGCAGAAACCCGCAGTGGAGAAATCCAAACAAGAACAAGGTGGCAGTGTGGGCGCTATGGGCCCCTGGCCAGGGGCTGTGTTCACTCAGAGAGTAAAAATGCTCCTCACCAGCTGATAAACTAGAGGTTCCTGGGACAGAGAGATATATCCGGAAATTACCCATGAATGTCCCACCAAGCAAGAATCCATGGTCACCCAAGCGCTGTAGTCACCACCCTGGTGAAAGGCCAGCTGGTCCTTTGCTTAATCGACACTGGATCTGAAGTTGCCATTAAGGAATATACCTTTTGCATTTAGGACCAGTCGGATCCATCTTGGTTGTCCCTGAAAGCCGTTAATAACTTGCCAATCATTGTGGAAGGGGTCACTTGGATGAAGGTGCAAATATTGGACCAGGTGATGGAAAAAGTGGGGTTCATAGTCACCCACAGTCCAATTCTTTCCTTGGTACCTGTGGTCCTGGGCATAAATGTCTTGAAAAACTTGGACTTACCCTACTTATTGGTAGAAGATGAGCAGCCCTAAACGGGGCTGTGGTCAGGAGTCTATTTGGCTTAATGTGATTCAGGCCTTTGAAGCCTACCTGGAGGGAAACAAATGGCACACCAAGCAGGGAGGCATTGTGCATTGCCCATCAAAGCAAAAATTGTTGTTAGCGCCTCTTCAAGAAGTAGTGTCAGGAATGGACTGGCCAGCAATAGTGGGACTCACCTGCCTTGTGAGCTGCAGTACCAGGGCTGGCCAGCGGGTGCTCCCAGCAATCAGAGACTCAACCTTGCAGCCAGTCAAACACCTGGAACTAATTATACTGGTGTATTTAAGGGACATTCAGACCTGCAGACTCTGCCTTGGTGTTGTGTTTTTCCTGGGCCCTGTATCTTGTTCCTGCATCCTGCTCCTGCTCCTGCTCCTGTTCCTGTCTTGTTGCTTACCCGGCTTGATTCTGACCTCTGCTGACTTCTCCTGTTCTGATCCCTGGCTTGTGACCCCGACCATTCTCTGCCTGACCCCCTGTACCTACCTGCCTGTTAGTTGCTGTACCCTGCTCGTGACCTGACTATTCTCCGCTTGCTCCCCCTGTACCTACCTGCCCGATTGATATTGACCCGGCCTGCCTGACGACGCTTGCACTGTATGTACTGTTATCTGTGGGTGGTTTGGTTTGGTTCGTTTGCACTGTGTTATGTTTTAGTATTGCACTGCGTTTATGTTTGTATTGTTAGTGTTAATAAATTGTTTATAAACTTATCTGAAGTCTGCGTTTCCCTGCGTCAGTCACACACCTCTGGTCATACCCGGGAGCCCTGACATTACACCAAGGCCAATCCTGACCAGAAGTGGCTGCACAGGGAAGCCATCTTGGTTTGTTGATGGGAAGGATGGATCTGGATGAGGTTGCGTATTTATATCTTCTAGTGTTTGATGACAGGGAGTATGCTTATCAAACTCTGAAGGAGTATACCCGGGATGAACTGCTAGAATGTATACGGCTCGCTCATGTTCTAGTAGATCAGGGCACAGAGTTCTCTGAGGTGCAGCCATTGATTGAGGTTTTTGTGGAGTTGGTTTCATCTGGTACCCCCGAATGCAGGGATGAATTTTTGCCACCATTTAGTGCAGACCAGGTAGCGTCCCTGGTATGGTTATTAGAGGATGATGTGGGTTACTTTCTGGAGCGTTATTCCACATGTTCACCACAGGTACTAAGAGATTGTATAAACGCAGTGCAGTCTTTGGTCAGACAGGCTTTGTGTAAGCTCAGCTTTGTTCAACCCATACTGCAGACATGGACAGATTTGTTACACCCAGCCTCAGTCAGCTTACAAAGACCCAGTCCTGCTTCTAACCTATCTCCTCAAAGCTCTACTCCTGTATTCCCAACAGCTCCTCCAGTTACAGCCCAGTATACTTGGCTATCTACCGCATGTCAGTACCCTGTTCCCACTCGCTGCACCTATCCTGCCTTTAACCCTGTAAAGAAGCCCTCTGTAGCGACTGTTCCTTCCCCTGTTCCATCCTCCAGCTCTTCTCTGTCTCCAGCTGCTCCATTCATTTGCAGACCTGCGTTTACTTGCAGTGCCCCAGTAGTTAAAACCAGAAAAAAGCGAAAATTTCTTTCCAACCAATACCATCCCGCCAGTATCCAAACCGGTGAGCCTGCCGTCTGAGAACCTGCCTTCCGTGGTTCAGCCTGATGCCTCTCTTCAGCCTGATGCCTCTCTTCAGCCTGATGCCTGTACTCAGGCTGATGCCTCTCTTCAGCCTGATGCCTCTACTCAGCCTGAAGCCTCTACTCAGCCAGAAGCCTCTACTCAGCCTGAAGCCTCTACTCAGCCGGATGCCTCTCTTCAGCCTGATGCCTCTCTTCAGCCTGATGCCTCCACTCAGCCTGATGCCTCCACTCAGCCTGATGCCTCCACTCAGCCTGATGCCTCTACTCAGCCTGAAGCCTCTACTCAGCCTGAAGCCTCTACTCAGCCTGAAGCCTCTACTCAGCCGGATGCCTCTACTCAGCCAGATGCTTCTTCCCAGCATAATGAACTGATCCGGCCTGATGATCCTATTAGGCCAGTTGACTCGATGCCCGCTGTTGATCCAGATGATCCGGTACCTGATCCGGTGCCCGCTGTCGTGCCAATTGACTCAGAACCCGCTGTCGTACCTGGTGACTCGGTGCCCACTGCCTTGCAAGATGACGCGGTGCCCGCTGGCGAGCCAAATGACCTGATGTCTGGTGACCCAGTGCCCGCTGTCATACCTGGTGACCCGATGCCCGCTGTCGAGCCAGACGATCCAATGCCAGACGACTCGGTGCCCGCAGTCTTGCCAGACGACTCGGTGCCCGCAGTCTTGCCAGACGACTCGGTGCCCGCAGTCTTGCCAGACGACTCGGTGCCCGCTGTTCCGCCAGTTGACTCGATGCCCGCAGTCTTGCCAGACGACTCGGTGCCCGCAGTCTTGCCAGACTACTCGGTGCCCGCAGTCTTGCCAGACGACTCGGTGCCCGCTGTTCCGCCAGTTGACTCGGTGCCCGCAGTCTTGCCAGACGACTCGGTGCCCTCAGTCTTGCCAGACGACTCGGTGCCCGCAGTCTTGCCAGACGACTCGGTGCCCGCAGTCTTGCCAGACGACTCGGTGCCCGCTGTTCCGCCAGTTGACTCGATGCCCGCTGTTCCGCCAGTTGACTCGGTGCCCGCAGTCTTGCCAGACGACTCGGTGCCCGCAGTCTTGCCAGACGACTCGGTGCCCGCTGTTCTGCCAGTTGACTCGATGCCCGCTGTTCCGCCAGACGACTCGGTGCCTGCAGTCTTGCCAGACGACTCGGTGCCCGCAGTCTTGCCAGACGACTCGGTGCCCGCAGTCTTGCCAGACGACTCGGTGCCCGCAGTTCCGCCTGTTGACTCGGTGCCCGCAGTCCAGACGCCAGACCCGACTCGCCAGTGACTCGGTGCCCGCAGTCTTGCCAGACGACTCGGTGCCCGCAGTCTTGCCAGACGACTCGGTGCCCGCTGTTCCGCCAGTTGACTCGATGCCCGCTGTTCCGCCAGTTGACTCGGTGCCCGCAGTCTTGCCAGACGACTCGGTGCCCGCAGTCTTGCCAGACGACTCGGTGCCCGCTGTTCTGCCAGTTGACTCGATGCCCGCTGTTCCGCCAGACGACTCGGTGCCTGCAGTCTTGCCAGACGACTCGGTGCCCGCAGTCTTGCCAGACGACTCGGTGCCCGCAGTCTTGCCAGACGACTCGGTGCCCGCAGTTCCGCCTGTTGACTCGGTGCCCGCAGTCTTGCCAGACGACTCGGTGCCCGCAGTCTTGCCAGACGACTCGGTGCCCGCAGTCTTGCCAGACGACTCGGTGCCCGCAGTTCCGCCAGTTGACTCGATGCCCGCTGTTCCGCCAGTTGACTCGGTGCCCGCAGTCTTGCCAGACGACTCGGTGCCCGCAGTCTTGCCAGAAGACTCGGTGCCCGCAGTTCCGCCAGTTGACTCGATGCCCGCTGTTCCGCCAGTTGACTCGGTGCCCGCAGTCTTGCCAGACGACTCGGTGCCCGCAGTCTTGCCAGACGACTCGGTGCCCGCAGTCTTGCCAGACGACTCGGTGCCCGCAGTTCCGCCAGTTGACTCGATGCCCGCTGTTCCGCCAGTTGACTCGGTGCCCGCAGTCTTGCCAGACGACTTGGTGCCCACTGTCGTGCCTGGTGACTTGGTGCCCGCCGCTCCGCCTGGGGGCCTGAGACCTGTCGCTCCGCCTGGGGGCCCGGCGCCCGCCGCCCCGCCTGGGGGCCCGATGCCTGGCGCCCCGCCTGGGGACCCGATGCCTGTCGCCCCGCCAGGGGGCCCGATGCCTGTCGCCCCGATTGGGGGCCCGGTGCCTGCTGCTTCACCTGGTAATCCGATGTGCCTCTGCCCGGAGTCCAGCCCGATGTGCCTCTGCCCGGAGTCCAGCCCGATGTGCCTCTGCCCGGAGTCCAGCCCGATGTGCCTCTGCCCGGAGTCCAGCCCGATGTACCTCTGCCCGGTGTGCCTCTGCCCGGTGTGCCGCTGCCTGGAGTCCTGCCCGGTGTGCCAGTCTTTGATATCCCGCCAGTTACCAGACCCGGGCGGTGGAACATTTTGCCCAGCTAGGATTGTTTGGAGCGTCCTGAGGCCGCTCCTTGAGGGGGGGTACTGTCAGGAATGGACTGGCCAGCAATAGTGGGACTCACCTGCCTTGTGAGCTGCAGTACCAGGGCTGGCCAGCGGGTGCTCCCAGCAATCAGAGACTCAACCTTGCAGCCAGTCAAACACCTGGAACTAATTATACTGGTGTATTTAAGGGACATTCAGACCTGCAGACTCTGCCTTGGTGTTGTGTTTTTCCTGGGCCCTGTATCTTGTTCCTGCATCCTGCTCCTGTTCCTGTTCCTGTCTTGTTGCTTACCCGGCTTGATTCTGACCTCTGCTGACTTCTTCTGTTCTGATCCCTGGCTTGTGACCCCGACCATTCTCTGCCTGACCCCCTGTACCTACCTGCCTGTTAGTTGCTGTACCCTGCTCATGACCTGACTATTCTCCGCTTGCTCCCCCTGTACCTACCTGCCCGATTGATATTGACCCGGCCTGCCTGACGACGCTTGCACTGTATGTACTGTTATCTGTGGTTGGTTTGGTTCGTTTGCACTGTGTTATGTTTTAGTATTGCACTGCATTTATGTTTGTATTGTTAGTGTTAATAAATTGTTTATAACTTATCTGAAGTCTGCGTTTCCCTGCGTCAGTCACACACCTCTGGTCATACCCGGGAGCCCTGACAAGTAGTCTGGTCTCTGCCTGTTGGGGAACAGTTGCTGGGGTCCACAGTCATGGTAGAGCCCTGTAAGGACCTTGGTTAAAAGGAGAATGGTTGATGGCTCATACCTTATTCAGAGTCCATTAGGGTAGGGTGCCAGTTCAGCTGATCAACTTGGGAACTGCCCCTGTACAACTACCAAGCAGCACGATCCTCACAGACCTCTATGTGGTGCTCAAGCTTTGTATCACAGGGTTCCAGCCAGCAATTGAAGCTCTCTGTGCCCCGCTGCAGTCTGCCATAGCCTCTCTAGGTGTTGAACAGTACCAAAAGTTTCTGGACCAGTTGGCCATACCCTTCCAGGAATATCCATTTCCCTAACAGCACCTCTTCCATCAGCTGTTGAAAAAACACCTATTAGTCTTCACGGCTGGTCTTAAAGATTACGGTTGCACTGAGGCCACAGACCATCCTATACATATGGGAAGTACACCCCCTATTCAGGAGAGATATTGGTATATACCACTTGCCTTTGCCAAGAGTTCAAAGACCTGATCTGCAATACACTGCAAAGCAGAATAATTAAGGGGAGCCGCAGTCCTCGGGTTGCCCCTATTGTTCTGGTGCGCAAAAAGGAAGGCAGTTTGTGCTTCCACTTCAATGTCTGTACCCACTGAGATGCTTACCTGCTGCCCAGGGTAGAGGAGTCACTCATGGCTCTAGTCCAGGCCTGTAACTTTTCCACCTTGGACTTGGCTAGTGGGTACTGGAAGGTCCAAGTGAGGGAGCAGGACAATGTGTTAGTAAAAAATCCAAAGTTGGAGAAGGGAAACTGGAGCCCCAATGAGAGGCCACCCTGTATTGAGTGGAAAGAAAGCCATTTCCTCCATCCCCTGTGTACGACGTTCTGTCTGAAGGTCCCAAAGACTTTTAAGACCCTGTGCGCTGGGTTGAGATTGTCCCTTGAGGCAGTCAACCAGCTGGGAGAAGGCCATTTCTCCGATCTATGAAGTCCCAGAAGAATGGTACTTACCACCCCACTAAGCAACACCAAGGTTCTTGCTGTCCCTCCTGAGGAACAAGCTACCAGAGGGGACGGAGAACCTAAATATCCTGACAAACATGTGGACTCTCCTAATAACTCAAACACCAGCCCAGGTGAGGGTGTTATGCCTACACATGATAACACCCAGTCACCTGAGGCTTTTGAACAATCCTTGTTAGATGGGATGACCATTCTGATGTTGAACTCTGGTGAGGACTGCCACCCTATCTGGTCAAACTGAGGGCTGGCTAGGTATTCTTAATGTGTTGTGTAACCATGTATGTTGTTTTTCTTTTGTTTTCTTGCAATGTTCCACCATTTGTTGCCAAGGAGAGCATATGTCAGAGGGAGGGAATGTAAGCGGGGTAGCTGGGCCTCCCTGCAAAGGCAGCACTGTTTGGAGGTCACTGTGCAGAGAAAGCGAAATTAGTGTTAGAGCGAAGAGTGGTTAGGTCCCTGCTGGTTGGGGACAGAGTCTAATGTAGGGATAAGTTCCAGTGGAGGAGAGACAGACTAGGGACTGTCACTGTGTCCCAGGCAATAGCCCTTCCTCATTTAGGTGCCTCATGGCTGCCATTGGTTCTCCAGAAACCACCAATACCACTGACATCACCAACAAAGTCCTTGTGCATTACCTCCATAAAATGTATTTAAACCATAGAGACAAATGCATACTCACAAATGATTAAAAACAGCAGGCATATAGCATAAATGTTTCATTTGGTGACTCCTGGAAGGGGGCTGACTACCGAAATGCATTAAATTTCTGACCAGACGGTTCCAAGATGGGACACATTGTCTAAGGCTGAAATATTTATGCTATATGCCTGCTGTTTATATTCATATGTGAGTATACATGTGTCTCTATGATTTGAATACATTTTATGGAGGTAATGCACATGGAGTTTGCGCCCTCTAGTGTGTTTTTATAGTTCATTGGAATTTCTCCAGTTCATGGAGGGATGCACTTGAGGATGTATTACATATCATAACCTATTTTAAAGCACCTTGAATTCAGTGCTGGAGTGTTTTTTTGAGGTTTTTAATCCCATACAAGGCTATGGAAATTAATTCTGGTGATTTAATGACAATAAAGACACATTTTCCTGTTAAGTGGTTCTTGGTGAAATGATTCACTAACTACTTCCTGTCAAGCTGTGGCCAATGATATCAGTGGGTCCAGGAGAATTAATGTCACTGTCATTGGTGGTCATTGGTGGTTCCTGGAAACTTGATGCCAGTGATGTTTGCAGCTCCTGCAAAATTGATGTTGGTGATGTCAGTGGTATTGGTGGTTTCTGGAGAACCGATGGCAGTGATGTCACTAGTTCACGACAAAGCCACGTGTTCCTGTTGAGCAGATGCTGGTGAAATTATTGTGGTCACTGGTTCCTGCTGAGCCGTGACCAATGACCTCAGAGGCTGCTCACCTATAAATAACTGTGGAGTCTTGAGAAATAGCTTCCATCATTGATTTTCTTCATGGGAAATGTACATTTTGGTTTTGAGAAGGGAGTTTATTATATGCCACAATTAGATTCCTTTTTCTGAAAAAAAGGAAGTGGATAGCATTCTAAAATCATGACCACA